TGTGGTTGCGCCCCTTGGGTAGAGCGCCACCTGGCCCGGGTGAGGCGCCCGAGCCCTGGGAAATCGGTTAGTTTCACGTTTACACATGGGTAAACTGAGGCCTGGAGACAGGGAATGAATCTGGCCTATGGCCCTCTTGCCTGAGCCCCCAGAACCCGGAAAGCCACCAAGATCTGAGTGTAAAACCAACAATTCTCAGGGCCAGCTGACTAGGTGAGAGAATCCACTTTTCCAGCGTATTTCCAAGCCGAGTCCCATGTCCGGATGTTGTTCTGACCTCCTTTACCTGGAGAGCACTTCCTCCTTCCAGGCCAAGCTCTGACATTAATTCCCCTCCCCTTCTCCACCCCACTCTGGGAGATCTTGAACCCTGATCCTCAGAGGTTATCATTGTTTCTCAGTGTGTCTCCTGAGGCTGAGTTGTCTGGGAAAGGGTAGACTTAATTTCTTTTTTCTTTTTGAGATATAGTCTCCCTCTGTCGCCCAGGCTGGAGGGCACTGGCACGATCTCGGCTCACTGCAACCTCCCCCTCCTGGGTTCAAGCAATTCTCCTGCCTCAGCCTCCTAAGTAGCTGGGATTACAGGCATGGGCCACCAAGCCCAGCTAATTTTTATATTTTTAGTAGAGCTGTGATTTCACCATGTTGGCCAGGCTGGTCTCAAACTTATGACCTCAGGTGATCCACCTTCCTCAGTCTCCCAAAGTGCTAGGATTACAGGTGTGAGCCACTGTACCCAGTTGACTTAATCAATTTCCAGACCTCACTCACCCCAGCCAGGCCCGGCTCAGCAGCTCAACAAACTTATCTAGCTGAATGAGAACTCCAGTTCTGTGTGACCTTGGGTAACTGCTTTCTCCTCTCTGGGTCTCAGCTTTCCCATCTGTGAAATAGGAGGGATGGTATTTCTGGGTGCCACTTACACTACAGCAACAGTCAGCAAACGTGGTTTTTTGTTTGTTTGTTTGTTTGTTTGTTTGAGACAGGGTCTCTCTTTGTCGCCCATGCCGGAGCGCAGTAGCATAACCAGGGCTCACTGCAGCCTCCACCTCCAGGGCTCATTCGATCCTCCAACCTCTACCCACTGAGTAGCTGGGACTATAGGTGCACACCACCATGCCGGGCTAATTTCTTGTAGAGGCAGGGTTTCGCTATGTTGCCCAGGCTGGTCTCAAACTCCTGGGCTAAAGTGATCCACCTGGCTCAGCCTCCCAAAGTGCTGAGATTGGAGGTATGAGTCACCATGCCCAGCCAGCAAACTTTTCCTGTAGAAGTTCAAATAGAAAATATTTTAGACATGCTAGACATAGGGTCTGGTTTACACACTCTTCGGTTTTTCTTTTTACTTACAATCCTTAAAAAAATGTAAAAAAACTCTTCTTAGCTTAAGTGCTGTACAATACAGGTAGCAAGACCCCTGCATAAGAGAACGCTTGCATATGTACATAACAATCTTTATGGCAGCAGTGATGTGACAGCAAGAAATTGGAAATAGCTTAAATGTCCTTCAAGAGGACAGGGGAGGCTGGGCGCGGTGGCTCACGCCTGTAATCCCAGCACTTTGGGAGGCCGAGGCGGATGGATCACTTGAGTTCAAGACCAGCCTAGCCAACATGGTGAAACCCCGTTTCTACTAAAAACAGAAAATTAACCAGGCATGGTGGTACATGCCTGTAATCGCACCTACTTGGGTGGCTGAGGGGCTGAGGTGGGAGGATCACTAGAACCGGGGAGGCGGAGGTTGCAATGAGCTGAGATCATGACACTGCACTCTAGCCTGGGAGACAGAGCAAGAGTCCTCAAAAAAAATTTAAACAAAACAAAAAGACAAGGGCAGGGAATAGTGAAACCCTTGGACATCCCTTTCTGAAGCACAGAGTGAGCAGCAACTAAAGGAGGTGTGGACTGGGCACGGTGTGTGTCATGCCTGTAATCCCGGTGTGATTGCTTTTGAGAAGCCAGGGCAGGAGGATCATGAGTCAGAAGTTTGAGACCAGCAGTTTTCAACATAGTGAGCCCCATCTCTCTCTTTTTGCAGAGATGAAGTCTTCTCTGTTGTCAGGCTGGAGTGCAGTGGCCGGATCTCAGCTCACTGCAAGCTCCACCTCCGGGTTTACGCCATTCTCCTGCCTCAGCCTCCCGAGTAGCTGGGACTAAAACTTCCTCTCCACACCACTTACAGCTGGATTTGTGTGTGTGTGTGTGGCCACCTCGCCCGGCTAGTTTGTGTGTGTGTGTGTGTTTTTTTAGTAAAGACGGGGTTTCACCGTGTTAGCCAGGATGGTCTCCATCTCCTGACCTAGTGATCCGCCTGTCTCTGCCTCCCAAAGTGCTGGGTTTACAGGCTTAAGCCACCGCACCTGGCCTAGAGTGTCATTCTTGTTTCTCAGGCTGGAGTGCAATGGCGCAATCTTGGCTCACTGCAACCTCCGCCTCCTGGGTTCAAGCGATTCTCTTGCCTCCGCCTCCCGAGTAGCTGGGATTACAGGAATGTACCACCACGCCCGGCTAATTTTTGCATTTTTTAGTAGAGACAGGGTTTCTCCATGTTGGTCAGCCTGGTCTCGAACTCCTGACCTCAGATGATCCGCCCACCTCAGCCTCCCAAAGTGCTGAGATTACACGTGTGAGCCACTGCACCTGGCCAAGACCCCATCTCTAAAAAACAAAACAAAACAAAACAAAAATTAACTGGGTGTGGTTTCATCCATCTGTGGTCCCAGCTACTTAGGAAGATGAGGTAGGAGGATTGCTTGAGCCCAGGAGTTCCAGCCTGTGGTGAGCAATGATTGTGCTATTATACTCCAGCTTGGGAAAGAGATTTAGACCTTGTCTCTTAAAAAAACGGGTGGCATGAAGTGTGTAAATGACATGAATGACACAGAATGAAAACATCCATTGAGTGGATAAAAAGTTGCCAAAGATACAAAGGGAATGAAAAAAATCAAGGAAACACCCAAAATACCATATATTAATACATGTAAAAAGTCACTTTAAACTCTTTGCAAGAGTTACCAGTGAGATAGAGAGTGTGGGATTCTAGGGAATTTGGTGGTCACAGAGATCTTTTTTTTTTTTTTTTCTGTAGAGACAAGGTTTTGCTATGTTGCCCAGGCTGGTCTCGAATTCCTGGAATCAAGCTGCCTCGGCCTCCCAAATTGCTGGGATTACAGGCGTGAGCCACCACACTTGGGAGGTCTCAAGTCTGTCTTGAAAATGCCAAATTTGGTCAGACCTGGTGGCTCATGCCTGTAATCCCAACATTTTGGGATGCCGAGGCGGGTGGATCACCTAAGGTCAGGAGTTCGAGACCAGCCTGACCAACATGGTGAAACCCCATCTGTAGTAAATACAAAAAGTTAGCCGGGTGTGGTGGCACGTGCCTGTAATCCCAGCTACTTGGGAGGCTGAGACAGGAGAATAGCTTGATCCAGGAGGCGGAGGTTGCCGTGAGCGGAGATTGTACCATTACACTCCAGCCTGAGAAACAAGAGTGAAAACTCTGTTTTTTTTTAAAAAAAAAAAAGGCCAAATTTTATTCTGCTTCTAAACCTTCATACTGGTTGTTCCCTCTGCCTTAGAACACTCTGGGGTATTTGCAGAGCTGACTCTTCTCTGTCAGGTCCCTGCTCAATTGTCCCCTCCTCAGAGACCTTTCCTGATCCCCCTATTTCAAAAGCTACCTCCCCCACCATGGAAAATTGAAGTGTGAGAGGGATGGAGAAAGACTTCATTGTGTGCCATGTCACACTCTTTGCATTTCAAACCAAGTGAATTTATTGCCCATTCAAAACTATGTAAATTAAATAAATTAAAATTTTAAAAATCGAAAAAAGTAAAAAAACCCGAAGTAGCTCCCCTAGTCATTTTCTCAACACATCCTCCTGTTTTATTTTCTTCGTGACACTAGTCAGTGTGCGAGATAACTTTATTTTTTTATTATTAATTACAGATTGGGCGGGAGAATGGCGTGAACCCGGCAGTCGGAGACTGCAGTGAGCCGAGAGAGCGCCCTTGCACTCCAGCCTGGGTGACAGAGTGAGACTTAAGTCTTAAAAGAAAAAAAAAAAAATTACAGATTGCATCTTGCTATGTCGCCCAGGCTGGTCTCGAACTCTTGGGCTCAAGTGATCCTCCCACCTCAGCCTCCCCAAGTGCTGAGATTACAGGTGTGAGCCACTGCACCTGGCGAGATGACTTTACTTATTGATTCCCTTATTTGCTGTGTCTCATGACCAAGAGGTCAGCCCTACGGTGGCAAGGATCTTGGTAAGTCAGTCTGGCTCATGGCTGTGAGGCTAAGGCCAGGCACACAGCAGCCCTATAACATATTTGCTAACAGATTAGGCAAATCATGTTTGTTTGTTTGTTTGTTTGTTTGAGACGGAGTCTCGCCCTGTCGCCCAGGCTGGAGTGCAGTGGCCGGATCTCAGCTCACTGCAAGCTCCGCCTGCCGGGTTTACACCATTCTCCTGCCGCAGCCTCCCGAGTAGCTGGGACTACAGGTGCCCGCCACCGCGCCCGGCTAGTTTTTTGTACTTTTTAGTAGAGACGGGGTTTCACCGTGTTATTCAGTGTTTGTTTTTTACAAGAAAATGTATTTGGAATCACTTATGTAAATAAAGTTTAATAATCAAAACTCTACTTCCCCTCAAAAACAGATGAATAATAAGAAGGAAAGAGGTTATTGAACTGGGTGATCTCTCAGAATCTGTTCGGCTCTGAATATTTCAAAGACATTTGGTTGGGGGTTTTTTGGGGTTTTTTTTTTTTTTTTCGTTTTGGGCTTTTTTTCTTTTTGGTCTGGATGTTGGTGGAATTTCCCCTCTCGTAGGACTTTTCTGTGAGACGGAAGTAAGAGAAGAAATAAGCATTTTGAGTTCCTACATTGGCCTTCCTTCCTTCCGCTGGTACATGTAGTTGGGGAAAGGGTCGGTTTTCTTCTTTAGTTCTGTTGAGGCCCCAGTGGAGCAAAGGATCCCCAAAGGACAACAGCTGTCAGGTCTCCATGTCCAAGGCTGAGCCCAAATGCGTGGGGGTGGACTTCCCAGCGCCATTCTGCCCTTTCTGTAACACAAAATGTGGGAGAAGGTAATTAGAAATCCTGTCTTGTCTCCTGGCACCTCTTCCTTTTCCTTTGAGGGACCACCATACCCCATCTCACAATCCATTAAGGTTTGAATGGAGTGGACCCCAACCCCAAATGCGACCCCAGCCTGGCCAATCAGAGACACAGTGACTGGTCAGGTATGTGACCTGGTGTGGCCAATGAGAACCAGCCCCCAAAGACCAGTACGCACAACTCCCGGGAAATTGGCAAACTCTCCACCGGGGAGGATAGGCTGCTGGGCTGTAAGCCTGGAGCTGCAAGTCTCTGCTATCTCAGGAGGAGACCCTGAAAGGGAATGAAGCCAACTCGGAGAAAATAAAAAGAGCCCATTCACGGTGACATCATCTCTGACAACTGGATGCAGCCATGCCTTAAGACTCTGAACTCTTCAATTACATGGCCCAGTAAATTCCCTGTTGTGCTTTCCCAGCTTGAATTGGGCTTCCGCCTCTCACGACTCAAAGAAAACTGACAAATAACCTCCTTCAGCTACTGAGAAATTATCAACAGTCCTCCCTCATCAACATGATAATAACCAAACTCCCATCTCTGCCTTGCAAAGGCCTTGGGGCTCGGCCGGGCGTGGTGGCTCACGTCTGTAATCCCAGCACTTTGGGAGGCCATGGCAGGCGAATCACTTGAGGTCAGGAGTTCCCGAGCAGCCTGGCCAACATGGTGAAACCCAGTCTCTTCTAAAAATACAAAATTAGGCCGGGCGCAGTGGCTCAAGCCTGTAATCCCAGCACTTTGGGAGGCCAAGATAGGCGGATCACGAGATCAGGAGATCGAGACCATCCTGACTAACATGGTGAAACCCCATCTCTACTAAAAAATACAAAAAACTAGCCGGGCAAGGTCGCGGGCGCCTGTAGTCTCAGCTACTCGGGAGGCTGAGGCAGGAGAATGGTGTAAATCCGGGAGGTGGAGCTTGCAGTGAGCTGAGATCGGGCCACTGCGCTCCAGCCTGGACGACAGAAAAAAAAAAAAACAAAAAAAACAAAAAAACAAAATTAGCCGCGCGTGATGGCACGTCCCTGTAATCCCAGCTACTTGGGAGGCTAAGGTGAGAATATCGCTTGAACCCGGGAAGTGGAGGTTGCAGTGAGCTGAGATTGCGCCATTGCACTCCAGCCTGGGCAACAAGAGCAAAACTCCATCTCAAAACAACAACAACAAAAGGCCTTGGGGCTCTAAACCCAGCTTTCTCCCTCCCATTTCTTCCCTGATCCCACTCCGTGCCTTAGTCCACCACCACCTCTTTGGATATCTTCAAGTTCTCCTTAGCTATCTGGGCCCCATTACAGCTTCTTTCGTCTAAGACCTGGACCATACTCATATATGTCCTGATGGTATCTGCTGTGCATCCAGGCCTTAGAATTAGTCATTAGCATTCCCTGAATGTTTCCATCTTATTCTTGGATGTGGGAAGCACTTGGGCTGATGGGGCAATGTAGAGCATTGCAGGTCCACATTTCTTGGAGGGAAATCACAGTCTCTTCTTTGCATCTGTGTCTTCCTCATCATGCCTTGCACAATGCTTCAGGGCTGGGAGTAGGAATGTATTAATATAGCAAGCTGGCTGGGTTGAGTGGCTCCCACCTGTAATCATGGCACTTTGGGAGGCCAAAGCAGGAGGATCCCTTGAGCCCAGGAGTTTGAGACCAGCCTGGGCAACATAGCGAGACCCAGTCTCAAAAAAAAGAAAGAGAAAGAGAGAGAAAAGAAAAAAAAGAAAGGAAGGAAAGAAGAAAAAAAAAAAAAGAAAGAAAGAAAAGAAGAGAAGAGAAAAGAGGAACAAGATATATCAGGCAAATCCCTTATCCTCACTGGCTTCAATTTCCCTGTCACTAAGAGGGGTGGGGGGATCCTCTCCTAAGAGAAACATTGGAGAACACAGGATCCTTACCTCTCTGCACTCTTCTGAGACCTGGCAGATCTGAGAATAAGCTTCAGCAATGACAGTGGCCCTGGAGAGCACAGGAAGGCCCTCAGAAGGGGACTCTCCTCCTTCCACCCCACCCCCATTCCACCCCACCCTTCTTCACCCCAACTCACTTGCAGTCCAACCCTCCCCCAGGAGGTAAATCTGTGATGTCCTCTGAGGCCAGAGTCCTGAAAACTGTGTTCAGGCTGGGCAGCTCCTGAGCATCGGCACACAGTTCTGAGAAAGGGTCAAGAGTTAGGCTGGGCACAATGGTGCAAGCCTGTAATCCCAGCACTTTGGGAGACCGAGGTGGGTGGATCACTTGAGGCCAGGAGTTCAAGACCAGCCTGGACAACATAGTGAAACCCTGTCTCTACTAAAAATACAAAAATTAGCTGGGTGTGGTGATGCATGCCTGTAATCCCAGCTACTCAGGAGGCTGAGGCAGGAGAATCGCTTGAACCGGGAAGGTGGAGGTTGCAGTGAGCCAAGATTGTGCCTCTGCACTCCAGCCTGGGCAACAGAGCAAGACTCCATCTCAAAAAAAAAAAAAGAAAAGAAAAGAAAAAGAAAAAGTTATGGCAGAGCCTTCGCTGGCCGACCACCCCTCCAGCTGGGCCCCCGGAGCCTGCTCACCAGCGATTCTGCGGCCCAGGGTTGCGTCCAGTTCGAGCTCCCTCCTGATCGCCTCCTCAGAAGGCCTAGGGGCCCCGGGGAAGCAGACCAGGATGCAGGTCATGTTGTCCAGGCTGCCCTGAAGCCAGTGGAGAAAACGGAGCCCAGTGGGGGAGAATCAAAGGCAGAGCTTCCCAACAATCCCCAAGTTCAAGTCCCCCACTTCATTCTGGTTATGCCCCTTTCTTTCACGTCCCATTCACCTGCCAGTCCTCTCCTCCTGGGACCAAACCCGGTCCTAGGCCCTGCCTATTGAGAGAATAATGCCCTTTCCCTAAAGCTCTGCCCGCTCTGATGTTTACCTGCTCTTCCACCTTCCAGCACTAATCATACTTCAGGCCTGGCTCCTACGACCCAGAATCGCCCCATTCCAAAAGACCAAGCCCTTTGTCTTAAATCCCTTCCACTAACTCTCCCCTCCTGCCTCAAAGCATCCCTCAGGCTCCGCTCCTGTATTTTGGCCCTGCCCACTTCATGCCACGTCCTTCACTTGAGCCCCATCCCCTCCTCTAGCTTTACTCTTGCCTCTGCATCAAAGCCGTCCTCCCCCAAACTCCGAGGCTTTCTCCCTTTGCTGCGCCAAGCCTCAAAGATACCACGCCACGCCCCCAGGACCTTGCACAGGCACGTGTCCAACAGCTGCGCGCAGAGAAGCTCTGGGGCCAGACCCAAACGGAGGCGCGAAGCCACCAGTCCCGCCAGGGCAGCACCGGACATAGTGTCCCAGACGCCATCAGAGGCCAGGAGCATGAACTCGTCCTCAGCCTGGCGTGCCAGTGCGGCCACCTCAGGCTCCGCAGAAACGAGCTGTAGCTCGGGGGGCCTCCCCGAAGCCTCTTTGTAGGCAAAGTCGCCCAACGCTCGAGACACGGCCAGAGAGCCCTCGACGCGGCGGCGGCGGATGGTGCCGCCAGCGGCGTGGATGCGCTCGCGTTCCCGGGGTCGAAGGGGCCGGTGGTCCTCTGTGCTGAAGGCCACGGCGCCAGCGCGGCTCAGCACCGCGCGGGAGTCACCGCAGTGCGCCAGGTACAGAAACCGCGGGGAGACCAGCAATGCCACGGCCGTGGAGCCGCCTGTTTCCACGCGGGGCCAGAGGGAGCGCAGGCGCTTGTCGGCGCTCAAGAAGGCTCGGCGCAGCGCCTCGCGCACGCCCTCGGGCTCGCTAGGCTCCGGGCCCAGCTCCTCGAGCACATGGTCTGGCAAATGGCGCGCACCGAAGCGGGCAGCTCGAGCCCCACCGTGGCCGTCGAGGACGGCAAACAAGGCCCAGCCCAGGGGCAGACCAGGTAACGAAAGCCAAGTGCAGTGGGCATCCTCCATGCGCGCGCGCCAGCCTTGCGCTGCGCTCGCCCCGAAGCGCAGGCCACAAGACGCCTCGGCACCCCCGTGCGGCCGCTGGGCGCGGCGCGGCGCTGTCAACAGAGACCGAGGCCCATCGAGGGCCCCGCGCCCCTCCTCTTCATCCTCCTCTTCCTCCTCCCCCTCCTTCTCCCTCTCCTTTTTCTTGCAAGCGGTCCAGAGGAGACGCTGCAGCTGGCGGGCCAGGGCCGCCATCCTTCAACCCTGGGATCAGGAAGTCTCCACCCTGTACACCTGCCCGCCCCCTCCGTTAATCCCCTCCGCTGTGAGATTTTAAACCATCTAAATCTCCTTCCTGTTCTTTGACCCTCTTTAGGCGGGTCACTAGAAGGAATTACACTTCTGGGTCTCCTCTCTCCTGCACCTACAAAGCGGGGTTTGGGATCTGAATCAGGAAAAAAAGAAAAAAGATAATACTGTATCAGTAGCAAACTATCACACAGTACTAATGTGTCACACGGTGTTATACATCATCTCCAGTTTACAGATGGAAGAAGAAACAGAGTCACAGAAGTAACTGGTGTTACAGGGAAACTAATTCTAGAATCTGTGTTCTCAACATAACACCCAATCCAAGCTCCTCCCGCCTCCGTGGTACAGCCCCCAGCCTCAAAACCTGTAAATACCATACTTGGCCGGGCGCGGTGATTCACGCCTGTAACCCCAGCATTTAGGGAGGCCATGGCAGGCGGATTGCTTAAGCCCAGGAGTTTGAGACCAGTCTGCGAAATATAGAGAGACCCCGTCTCTACAAAAATTAAAATTCAGCCAGGCGCAGTGGAACACACCTGTGATCCTAGCTACTCAGGAGGCTCAGGTGGGAAGATTACCTGAACCCGGGAGATCGAGGCAGCAGTGAGCCGTGATGGCATCACTGCACTCCAGTCTGGGCGACAGAGCGAGACCCTGTCTCAAAAACTATACATATATATATATATATTTTTTTTTCTTTACTTTTTTTAGTTCGACCCCTCCCCTCTGGGGCTTCGGCTATTTTCTCTAACAGGCCCTGCCCATCCAGGATTCACGCACACAGCTCCAGACCCTTCTAATTTTCGCAGACTTGGAATCGCCTGGAATCGGACCCCACCCAGTTATATTTGAATAATTCCCCGTTGCTTTAGCCCCGCCCATGTTTGAGCTCCTCCGCGTGCCCCAAAAGTTTCTGAATCGTTTCTTTCGGCCCCCTTTCTCGCTCCCTCTGCAAATCTAGGCTCAGACCCTACCTCAGACCATTAGAAACTTTCCACCCCCTCCTCAATGGCACCCCTAGCTCCACCCCAACACACTCAGGGATCCACGCTCCTATCCTCTCTGCCAAGGCTCGTTCACCATCCTCTCCCGTGTCCCTCGCCCGACTCCAGGCCTCGGCCCCTCTTCCCCTAAAGGCTGCGCCCTCTGCGGTCTAGACACCGCCCTTCACGCCGCTTTCCACTCCTTCCTGGCACTGTCGCCCACTCTCTTGGCTCCGCCCCTTTAGTAAGAAGGCCACGCCCCTCCGTCTGCTCCTCGGCGTTTCCCCGCCCCTCGCCCTCCCTCTGGTACCGCCCCGCCCATCCTCTGGCCCCGCCCCCGGCCGCGCGCTGCAGTGCCTTTCCCACCGCGGCCCCGCCCGCCCCCGCCGAGCCGAGCACAGGGCGGCGGCGGCGGCGGCGGCGGCGGCTGCTGGAGCAGCCCGGGAGGAGGAGGCGGCGGCGAGGATGGCAGCGGCGTCGTGGGCGCGGCGGAGATGAGCGCCCGCGACCCCGGGCCCAGGGCGGCGCAGCCGGAGTGGGCGGGGGTCCCGATGCAGGCCCGAGGGGGGCCATGGGGCAGGTCCTGCCGGTCTTCGCCCACTGCAGTGAGTAGAGGGAGGCTGGGGCCTGGGGTGGGCCCCAGACGTCCAGGTGGGGTACTCCCTGGTGTCCCCTCAGCGCTTGCCCGCAGGAGAGCCGGGGTGGGGGGAGGAGGCATAGGAGACAAAGGAAGCTCTCCCCTCCCCCGCTCTCTGGCGGCGACGGGGGCAGCCTGACCCGGAGGACCTGGACGAAACAGGGCGGAGGTGAGGGGCCACTGAGACAGCAGGCGAGGGGCGCGCTGCGCTCTGGGATGTGCCTCCCGGCCCCGCCCGGGAACGTGGACGCGCGCGGGGAGCTGTCCCCAGGCTCTGGTGCTGGCCGCAGCTGGCGGGGAGGGGGTTGAACGGAGGGTAGAGCCAGGATGGAAAACAGGGGTCTGGTTCCTAATCACTCGTCTTCGCATCCCACCCCGTTTTCTGTCCAAGAGACAGCCCCGACCTCGCCCAAACTGTCCAACCCCCTGTCCCGGGAAAACAGCCATCTGTGGTTTGGGGGCAAGGACTCATGGGTCCTTAGTGGCCTTTACCACTGATCAATGGTAATCCTGGGGAAGACCCACACCACTCCAGGCCTCCCATTCCCCAGCTGAGAAAACAAGGTGAGGGCACAGGGCGTCAGATTTCAATTTCTAAACCGCATTGAGCATCATCTACGTGCAAAGCTCTGAACTAGCTCTAAGGGGCTGGATTCCCAGCTGAAAACGCCTAGCTTGATCCTCCCAATCTCTGAGCTCACAGCTGTAACAGTTCATGTCTACCATTCTCTGTCCCGCACATGGGGGTTCTGACAGCTGGGGATTTCAACACCCTTAGATCTAGCCACTTCCATGTCTTGGGTGTCCCCATGCCAAAATTCTAAGAATTGGTGATTTCAGCATTTCCGAGTATGGTCCCAACATTCTAAGATCTTGTTGTTAACTTCAGATTACCAAGGGAGGACCATCTTATCTGTCCCTCCCCACCCCCCTTACCTCTCTGTCCTCACCTCCCACCCCTCTCCTCCTCAGTCACTCTTCTCCAGTCACATCTTCGCACCTCTCTGTTCCTCAGATGCCAATCTTGGTGCCTGGCTCAAGGCCTTTGCACTGGTTTCCTTCTCTACCTGAAAGTCTTCCCTGAACATCTGCATGTCTTCCTCACTTCCTTCAGATCTCTGCTCAAACGTCCTCTTATCACAGAAGCCTTCTTGACCACCCTATGAGAAACAGCACCCCTTCACTTTCTTCACTTTCTCTTCCCCTACCTTTCTTTACTTTGCTCCATATGCTCATCTGCACCCGACATCATATATTCACTTGTTTCTTGTTTGTCTCTCCCAAAGAGTGTCAGCTCTAGGAAGGTAGGGATTTTGTCTGTTTTCTTCACAGCTATATCCCCAGGACCTAGAACAGTGCCTGGCACATAGTAGGTGCTCAATAAATGGTTGTTGAACGGATGAAAGAATTGAAACCTCCTAAGATTCCTACTTTGTTGGCCACCCAGCCCAGCTTAGAGTCTTGAAGAGTCTAAGATTAAGATTCTTGGATTTGGACTTCTAAGACTGAGCTTCATCAGGCAGTGATGCTAGGTTTTAGAGTCTGTGTGCAGAATGTTCTAAAAGTCCCGTGATTCAAATATTCTAAGATTCCAGGACTGGCACACTTCTGTGATTCGGACAGTCTAAGCTTCTAAGAGTCTTCGATTCTTTCCCTCTCGCAGAAGAAGCTCCGTCTACAGCTTCCTCAACCCCTGATTCCACAGAAGGTAAGTGGAGGGGAGCATGTGAAGGGGCTCAGGGCTGGGCAGCTCAGGGGCCTGCTGAGGGAAACAAGGCTCTCCTTCACCCACTGCAGGAGGGAACGACGACTCTGATTTTCGGGAGCTGCATACAGCCCGGGAATTCTCAGAGGAGGACGAGGAGGAGACCACGTCGCAGGACTGGGGCACCCCCCGGGAGCTGACCTTCTCCTACATCGCCTTTGATGGCCTAGTGGGCTCCGGGGGCCGTAGGGATTCAACTGCCCGCCGCCCCCGCCCCCAGGGCCGCTCAGTCTCGGAACCACGAGACCAGCACCCTCAGCCCAGCCTGGGCGACAGCTTGGAGAGCATCCCCAGCCTGAGCCAATCCCCAGAGCCTGGACGCCGGGGTGATCCTGACACCGCCCCTCCATCCGAGCGCCCCCTGGAAGACCTGAGGCTTCGGTTGGACAAGCTGGGCTGGGTGGCCCGGGGAGTGGGATCCGGGGAGGACTCTTCCACCAGCAGCTCCACCCCGCTGGAAGACGAAGAACCCGAAGAACCCAACAGATTGGAGGCAGGAGAAGCTGGGGAAGGTGAGATGTCCGAGGTGCTGGGACCGAAGCCAAGAGGGGTGGGTGGTTTCTCCTCGGGGCACCTCCAAGAAGAAAGCTCATGGCCTTCTCTCTCTACCGTGTCAGAACTGGACCTACGACTCCGACTTGCTCAGTCCTCACCGCCCGAGGTCTTGACTCCCCAGCTCAGTCCGGGCTCTCGGACACCCCAGGCCGGTACTCCGTCCCCATCCCGATCACGAGATTCGAACTCTGGGCCCGAAGAGCCTTTGCTGGAAGAGGAAGAAAAGCAGCAGGGGCCACTGGAGCGAGAGCCAATAAGGGGACAGTGCTTCGATAGCACGGACCAATTAGAATTCACGGTGGAGCCACGCCTTCTAGGTAAGTAACGTGTGTGAAGATGCTGCGTTGGACCACACAAGGCAAAGGGTGAGAGGATTTTGAATTAAAGGGACCAACCTGGCAAAGGAACAGCAGATAGTGGAAAAGGGAAAAGGTATTGTTACTGGCTAGACGTGATAAACTCCGCTCTTTTAAAAAAATTCCCCGGCCGGGCGTGGTGGCTCACGCCTGTAATCCCAGCACTTTGGGAGGCCGAGGCGGGCGGATCACTTGAGGTGAGGAGTTCGAGACCAGCCTGGCCAACATGGTGAAACCCCATCTATACTCGGGAGGCTGAGGCAGGATAATCGCTTGAACCTGGAAGGCAGAGGTTGCAGTGAGCCAAGATCGCGCCACAGCACTCCAGCCTGGGCGACAGAGCGAGACTCCGTTTCAAAAAATAAAAATAAAATAAAATAATCCTCCCTCTTCTGGAGTGCTCCTCCTAGTGGCTGAGTTTGGACAGACCAAATTCCTGAAAAAATGCAGTTCTTTCCTTATTTAGATGTGGCCGTAGAATATTTATAAGTAAACTCTGTGCCTTTTAAAAACTCTTCTTTTTGGCCGGGCGCAGTGGCTTATGCCTGTAATCCTAACACTTTGGGAGACCGAGGTGGGAGGATCCTTTGAAGCCAGGAGTGCAACACCAGCCTGGGCAACATAGGGAGACTCGATCTCTATTTGAAAAAAAAAACAAACAAAAGCCCTCTTTTTCCTGACCACATCTACTGACCAGTTGTCAAATGACCCAGCCTTCCTTTAAAATATGCTCCACCTCCAGGAACAGCTATGGAATGGTTAAAGACATCATTGCTTTTGGCTGTTTACAAGACGGTTCCAATTTTGGAATTGTCCCCTCCTCTATGGACAGCCATTGGCTGGGTCCAAAGGGGCCCCACCCCCCCTACTCCTGTCCTCCGGGTTCTACTGAAGTGGGCAAAATCCCCGAGAAGCAGCGGTGTCCCCAGCCTCTCACTCGGAGCCGATATGGGGAGTAAAGGTGGGCTTGCGGAACGGGCTGGACGGGGGCTGAGGTCGGCGGAAGGGGGTCCGGACTCGCCCTTATCTCCTGCACCTCTGGAGCACGTTTGTTACTAGTCTGCTTCCCCAGCGTTGCAGGCTGAGGCTAGGGGGCCTAGGGGCAGTCTAGGGAGGACCTAGAGGGAGAATGGGGTCCCTTCTCCTTCGAGCCAGCACTTTGGGGCCCAGGAGCAGG